GTACGTCAGCGAGCGAGTAAAGGGGCCCGTCGGGTTCCTGACCCGTTCCCTGACACGCGTGTACGAACGAGGTTCGCTTTTACCGCGAACGGAAAAGTTGCGCTCCTCCTCTAAGACGTAACAATACCTATGAGTCACAAAGTATTGCAAATGAATCAAGTAATGAAGAAAATGAAGGTGTAAATAAGCAGCATAATCATAATACCAAATATTTGAAAAAAAGAAAATATTGCACTAAAGATGAAGAAACGGAAAGCTAACGAAACAAAGGAGTTAGAACAAACGTTAATCCAAATGAGTCATAGAATTTCAACTTATATGGAAAACAAAATTTCAACAGCAAGTAATACTTTTATGGAATTTATAAAAATACACTTAAACAGTATTTCAGAAAACGGAAGAAATATAAAAAGGAAAATGATTATGAATGTTCTGACTGCACTACCAGAAAAGTAATAATTCTTTTATTTAAAGAAGTCATTTTATATATTACTCTGTAGTACAATACAGACATAAGCTGATTGTTTTCCTTTATCCTATAATCTCAAAGGTATGAAACTCAAAGATTAAACATAGAAAAGATTTTATTTACCAAAGTAGTTCCTAATTTATAAAAGATCATGTACCAAAAAGGATTTTTTTATTACTTTTGTATTGTTTTATTGTAATTTTTAATGTAATGTATTGTAATTTTTATTGTAAGTTTTAATATATAATTTAAATAGTAAGATAAGACAAAGTTTGTGTTATGCATATTTTTCTCATTTCATGTTACAAATAACATTTAATATAATGAGATATTTGTAATATATGCAAAGTTTATTTAAATTTATTTAAATTTCACAATTTTATTTGATTTATTATCACAGAATCCATCCAAAAGATTGCAAATGCAATATTCTTTTCAAGAAATTGCTAATAAGCATGCTTTCACAATGAATAATTTTCATTTCACGTGAATAATTATTATAATATACAAAAATAGACAGAAATTTTTCTACTAATCAAATTATAAAATTTTTTGACGATATATTAGAAACATGAGAAAAAACTATCAATATATTGGACAGGTTATGTATATATACACTTAAAGTTCTTGACAAACAATGATATTTTTCGAGATATTTGCTTGGGGGATTTAAAATGGGATACTCTATATTGTAGAACTAACTTTCCTGAGTAACAATCAAAAAGTTTTAGCCGTTGCTCATTGTTTATTAAAATTTATTAAGAAAGAAAGTGTAATGAATATGATGTAATTTTCTGATAGTATATATAAATATTATAGTTTCTTATTGTCATATCGGTCGATAAGTATAAGTTGCTTTGTTTACATTTTTTACCGGAATGAAATAAGTTGTTGACATTAGACCTATGAAACGTACTTGCAAAGAATAATGGGCCAGTATACGACACTTTTTCATGCAGTTACTGTTCGATTGCTGAAAAATGAAATTCTACGAAATTTTATAAATAGAGCTATTTTTTTGACACAATACCCAGTCGACACAATTTGTTACTGCTATATAATTTGAGAGTAACGCTTTATATAACAAATCCCAGAAAACAACGAGGTCTTGTAGATGTCTAAAAGATATCTTATGAAAGATTTCTTTAAGATATTTCTAAAAGATATCTACAAGTTGTCTATAAGATATCTAAATAGATGTAGTGGAAGATATCTTTGTAGAATTTATAAAAGATATCTATAGACATCTGAAAGATATCTTAAAAGATATCTTCAATATATTTGTAATAGATATCTAAATGATATCTTTTAGAAGATATCTTTAAGAGCCGATTGTTTCAACTTCTTGGTAAGTTAAATAATAGTTTAATCATAATTTGTCTGTCTAATTTAAGGAAGGAATAAAAATAGACAAATTAACTAATTACTTTAAACTTGGAACAACCGGCCCTAAGGCCGGTATTCTATAAGAAATTGTTCTCCTATGGGATATATCGTATCATCCGATCTCGTGTGAATCTTCAATTATATTTAAGACATTCTGAAGTTCATCTTGGCTGCATTCCCTAATTCACGGCCAATACTGAAAATCTGTAGTTCATGTAACGTATATAGAATTTCAGTGCTGTCAGTGAATTACAGAACGCAACCCTTGAGATACTTCGTAGCCAATAAAATAATCCGTGCAACATAACAACAAACAACAGACAAATAACAACAAAGAACAGCCCAGATAGCAAAATGTGCGCAAACATGTCTTTTAGACTTCGAAAAGATGCCTAAAAGACGTCCTACTTCTTTTAGAAGTTTTTAAACATCTTTGTAGACATTGTGCTATCTGGGAGGTAAACAAAAACAGATCGATTGCGTATCTTGAAACGTGGTGAATTCTAGTAAATTCACTCACTTTTATCATTCACTTGTTTCAATACACGCAATCGACTCCCAGACCTCGTGACTTCCTACCGAAAAGAAACCGTGCGGTTCAAGGATCCGATATTTATCAAAGGTAATCCTCGAAATCCTTCAAATTTACAATTGTATCTGTCTTTATACTTAAATCCTTTTGCCATTCAATGTTTAATATTTTCTGTGCGATTTGTATAACTAAGAATATTTTAATATAATTTACTCTATCCTAACCTTATGTTTTGCTGGAAAATTATAATGTTAGTAATAAATGTGCTACATCTTGTACTTCAATGAACATTAGGATTTTAATCAATCACATTTTATGTTTAGGTTTACAACGGAATTGACACAATATTCGGACTGTACCAGTAGTACTTGGTTGTTGTCTTCCGTCTTCACACAATTATCGCCATAGAAATTATCTAATTTTATGAATTACTTGCTGGTAAACTCCTCGATAAGGTATGTTCAAGTAATGATTACGATTCTTTGAAAAATTGAAAACTAGAAATAATATAATAAGCAAATAACCAAACCTGTGCGAGCAATCTCTTAGCAGCATTTGTAACACAAAGGCAATAGATTGCACACAGTATGTATTAATTAGGTTTTTATGGCAGATTCGTGGTATATTGCGTGCAGAGCCTGCTAATAGACGTTAGCAAGATCTGCATTCTGCCATCAAGCTGCTGTCAGAGCTGTCATAGATTGTGTTAGCATACTCTGCCGGCAGTCTAACAGCAGATTGTGGACACAGATGTCTGTGGATCTGTCGCCAATCTGACGTCAGTATGTGCACTGATTGTTTCAGATTTGAGGGTTTCATGGTCGGTGAATTTCTTCATTGTAATAGTTTCCGGTTGAGTACCGCGTCCTGAAACAGTTTTATGTCGACGTTTCGCTAACATTGCAGTTTGCATCTTCAAGGCTGAGGAGTCCTGATATTGAATTTTCCTCTTTCGTGAGTGTGCTTAGGTATCCCTTTCCTTGTGTTGAAGAAAGAAGAGGAGAGAATAATTAATATCAAAGCTCTCAGCTCTTAAGATGCAAACTGCAACGTTTCTGAAACGTCGATATAAAGCTGTTCCAGGACGCAGTACTCATCTGGACGCTACTACAAAGAAGAAATAGGATATGATGTTTCTTTTTTAATCTACACGAAATATCTTTGTAATAAAATCATTGATATTCATTCAAAGATAAAATTAAAAAATATAATAGTTTAAAAGATATTTCATACTCTGGCATAATTAATATAATAATATTAAATATTAAATATCTGGAATAATTTCACTTTTTCATATATTCGATATTCGATTTTCGTATTTTTATATGTGGAAGAACTACATATTATTTATTAAATATTTTGCCTTTATATCATGAAATTTTCATCATTTGTATGTAGGTTTCAAACGACATATAATAAAAAAATTAATAATGCCGAAAAGAAAAAGATATAACGATTTGAGTCGGTCTCAACAATGGCGTCGGCGACAAAATATTGATTGTGCAGTACATACTATTGATACAGGCGATACATATAATATTAATTTAGACATTGAGATTCCTCATGAAATGTCTAATGACAATATTCTTATTGAAGAGAATAGTAACAATTATTTGAATAATAATAATATATATATGTATGGAGATGTCGAAGAATGCAATCAAAGAATTGATTCTTATTCAAATTGTAGTTATTCAGAATCTGATATGGAATTGATTGCCGAATGCAATAATCAATGTTATAAAGATTTGAGTTTTAATGTACAGAAAGAACTTGCATTATACAAATTTCTTCGGACATGGAGTCTTGAGTATAATATTACTCATGTGGCTCTAACAAAATTGCTTCAAGGTCTCAAAATCAATGGATATGAAAAGCTTCCTTGTAATGCGAGAACTTTATTGGGAACTCCGAGAACAACATCAATAATTAAGAATCATTCTGGTACTTTTTATTATCATGGATTGCAGACAGCATTGAAGAATCATTTACGATATAATAAACCTCTCTATGAACGTTGTGAAAATGAAATTAAAATCAACTTAAGCATTGACGGACTACCATTGGCAAAGAGTTCTAAATCGCAATTTTGGCCACTTTTAGGGCAAATTGTCCACGTTCATTATAGAGAAAAACCTTTTGTCATTGGAGTATTCCACGGATATTGTAAGCCGAAGAAACCGAATGAGATTATTCATCAATTTATTGAAGAATATAGTGAAATTCAAAATAAAGGATTCCAATATCGAGGAAAAAAATACAAAGTTTTAATAAATGCTATAATATGCGACGCCCCGGCAAAAGCATTCATGAAATGTATTAAAAGTCATACAGGATATTATGGATGCGATAAATGTGAAGAGGAAGGTGAATGGAGGAACAATCGAATGTTATTCCTTAATGAAAATGCTCCATTACGCACAGATGCAAAATTTTTATTACGACATAATGAAGATCATCATGTGGATAATTCACCTTTTGAAAACATTGGATTGAAAATGGTAACACAGTTCCCATTAGATTATATGCATCTTGTTTGTCTCGGTGTCATGAAAAGACTTATAAATATGTGGATCCGAGGAATAAAGGGCATTAAACTGCGTGTTTCTCAAATTGATCAATTATCTATAGATTTAAAGCAGTTAATAACATACATACCTAGAGAATTTTCTAGGAAACCAAGAGGTTTAGATGAATTAGATCGCTGGAAAGCGACAGAATTTAGACTGTTTCTCTTATATACTAGTCTATCAATTTTATGGTCATATTTGCCAAATGATTATTTGAGACATTTTTATGTTCTACATTGTGCAATTTATATTCTTTGTAATCCTGCCGATTGCGAATACAATAACGAATATGCACATGAATTATTAGTACATTTTGTACAAACATTTAAAATGTTATATTCTGAGAACTACGTTACATACAATGTACATAACTTGGTTCATTTACATGTTGATGTTAAGAATCATGGGTGTCTGGACATGTTCAGTGCTTTTCCATTCGAAAATTATTTTCAAGAAATGAAACGAATGCTACGAAAAAATGCACAACCGTTACAACAATTGCACAGACGATTAATGGAAAAATGTCAAACTGTAAGAAATATTGGGTATAAACCTGAAGAATATCCCATTCTTCAAAATGCCAAGAACGAAGAATTATTGTTTGGATGTACACAATCTCATAAAGAAATAATATTTGAAAAATTTACACTATCCTGCATCAAAGAAGCCGATTCTTATTGTTATATGAATAACAGAAATGTTCTCATGATTGAATATATTGGAAAAAAGAATGGAGAAACAGTAATACTTGGAAAAAAGTTAAAAAATTTCGATAATATATCTTCATATCCATGTGATTCGCGAAATTTGAAAATCTATGTCGGAAATGAATGGTCTGAAATTGGAATGTATCCAATAAGTCAAATAAGCGCAAAAGCAATGCGACTTCCTTACAAAGATATATTTTGTATAATTCCTATTCTACATACTAATGATTGAAGTGAGTTGTTATTTTTTATAAAAACAACTGTAATAATTTATAAATAAAACTAGTAATTTATAAATTGTATTATATCATACATAAATATATTATATTATACAAATAATATTGTTTAATCCAATTTGTAATTATGATAGATATTTATATAAATAATAAGTTTTATATATATAAATATTTTTTAACAATAAATTATGACAAGTTTGAACCATAATTTGGATGCTTTAGGATAGAAAATCATAATAATTATGAGTGAAATTATTTTCATTTATTCTCTTAAATACTTCATCATTACTTAATCAGTATTTATTGTTACAGATGTATTACGTCGTATTTTGGGACGAATACTGCCAAGTCGTTCCCGATTCTTGGGTAAACTTTAATGCAAAAACATTTACGTTTCCATTGTCTAAAAAAAATATTACCAATACAATAAAGAAGAAGATAAGTCCTGGAAATGATTGGAACATCAGTCATTTTCATAAAATTTTAGGACCTTACAATACATTTGATAAGGCTCAGGAAGCAGAAAAATCTTGTATTGATATATCCACTTCGGATGATATTCAATTTGCTTCTTTAAATGAACCAATCCAAACATTGCCTCTGAAACGTTTGATAACGAAAAAAAAATTTTATGACGATGAATCGAATAATTACGTGAATAATTGTAAGTTTCAAATTCTATTACAGCAAATTACAAAATATAATATGATAAAACGTAAAGTAGCACATTGAAAATGAGTAACAAAACTAATTTACTAATATAATTATATACTATATATAAGTATATAATTATAAAGATAAGTATATAATTATAAAGATAAGTCGTAAATCGTTGAAAAAACTAATTTTCTATAAAATATAGGTAATATTTCCAAGAAATATAAATCAAATCAACATCCCCCATCAAATTATAAAATACACGAAGGGATTGGAGCTACATCTACAAATGTTGAACTTGAGAAAAATTCATTACATTTTAGATCAGTGAGTTCGGAATATAACGTGCAGAAGCGGGTAAGTACTACAAATATTAATGATTAATATATAGAGAAAAATAGCGCTAATTAGGACGTGCTTTTATTCAGACATCGATTATTTTTTAATAATTTATAATTGGAATAATCGTAACTATCAATACATAGCTGCAAAATAGACATTTCACACGCATTTCTATGTTGTTCAGTGAAACAAAATAGTAGCATTTGATAAAACCATTTATATATTTATTACAATACGTGAATAATTATTACTTAATTAATAGTATTTTATATTTTTATTTATTTATATGTAAATATAGATGAGAGTTGAATAAATTCGGACAAAAATCGTTATTTAATTTATAAATACATACATAAATATATATTTGTACACACACACGTATATGTTAGATTTACACACACATACAATTTGTATATTAATATACTTTGAATTCCAGGAGGAAGATAAAATTTTATCCGTCAAAAATAATCCATCTAATTGCAATGTCCCTTCACCTTTAAATGAACACCAATTTTCAATTCAAGTTTTTCATGAGGATGAGCAAGATGATGAAGAGATGACGGATGATACTAATTCTCGTGATTATGATCGGAACATCGATAATAAGGAAAATGAGATAATTGGTAATGACAAATTATATAGCGGTATACTTTTTGTCATGGCATATATTATATAAAGTTAGTTGAATAAGTAAATTCAATAATCTGTGAACCTATTTCTATTATTTTATTTAGCGATGAAGGCTCTCCCAATTACAGAAATGAATGTAGACGAGGATATACATGTAATTATAAGTAAGATACATTTTTCTTTCATATAGATGAATACTTTCTTTCATATAGATGAATACTAATTGATTGATCATACTAATGAATACTAAACAGTGAAAATAGTAAATCATTTCTAAAAATTTGTAAATTTTAGTAATGTATTGTTTTAGTATTGTCATCATATATAATATAGTTATTATTATATTTCCAAAATACTTTTATCGTATATTGTAGTGTACAAAGTTATTAATAACATTAAAAAATTAGTCTCTGAAGATGCTTACAGTAAAATATGAATGATGAAATATAAATAGTTCTTCTTGCAGGTTCTTTATATGAAAAAGTAGATACTTTACATCAAGACTTTCAACAATTCAAAACAGAGATAAAACACGAAGCAGCTAAAAATAACACAAAATTGAAAGAAATAGTTGCTATTTTAAGAGAAAGTTTCCAAAGAAATGAAGAAAATGAAGCAATAACTATGGATTTAATGCCTGAATTTCCAATGACATCCGTCGAGGAATACGTACAATTTAATGAAACATTGAAAAATGATGAAGCAATTCGTAAATGTTTTGTAAGTATATTTTGAATAATGTGCAATTCAATCAGTGATTCATTGACTGATATGAAGAAAGTATTTATATTCATATGTGTGTGTGATATATATATATATATATATATATATCATATATATATATATATATATCACACACACATATGAATATATTGAATAATAAATATTTTCTTCATATCAGTCAATGAATCACTAATTGAATTGCACATTATATATATATATGTGTGTGTGTCTGTGTGTGTGTGTGTGTATGTGTGTGTGTATGTGTGTGTGTGTGTGTGTGTATACAGAGTATTTGTTAACTAAAGGATCATATTCAATGGAGGCATAGAGCTGATTAAGATAAACAAAAGTCAAATATCTTTTTGCAAAAATCATAAAAATTACTGAGTAATGCATGAATAAAAATCGTGCATCGCAGCGGTAGTAAGAGGTGCGTTTGGTCGCTGAAGCTCGCATATCGAATCAAGTCGTCTAGCAATAGTTATCGGCGCGCGGCAAGAAGAAGAAAGGATTATTTCTGCACATTTTCCCTTCTGCTTGTCACGTGCCGGTAAGTATCGTTAGATGATTTAACTCGATCTGCGAGCTGCAGAGACCGAACGTGAGTTCTACAACCAATTTTTGTTCATGCATAAATCGGCTATTTTTATAATTTTTACTACATGATATTTGACTTTCTTGTTTATCTTAATCAGTTCTATGCCTCCATTGAATATGATCCCTAAACAAACACTCTATATATTCATACATATGTGTATGTGTACAAATACTTTCTTCGTATCCATCAATATATAATTTTATGCCCAATCGAAAACATTGTCGCATATGTGAAAATAGTTTGGTAGCAGGATTTCATATATCTTGCATCAAATTTATTGTTTACTTGCGATCTACTGTTGATGATATTAGATTGCACTCGAAATCTGCTCACATAGATTTGGCCATATGTATATAGTAATATCGAAATACGAATAATAATAAATAATAAAAGAAAAAAAGTCACGTATACGAACATTAACGTCTATATTAACATTATTCTTTGCAGGAAAAGAAAATAAAGTGTATTGGTGGTGACTCTACACAAAAAATGATCTCCAATATACTCACATATTGCATAACATTTGATGTAGGACACAAGTTGACTTGGACTGGTGCAAAAAATACTATCGCAATCGAAAATACAACTTTTGCAAACATTATAGTTAGTACGTATATTTTAACAATTACAAATAAACTATATATATATATATATATATGTCTCTTAATTTTTCCAAATGTTAAATTCTCTTTTATATCATTTTCAAATATAGATACAAAAAATACTTTTAAACATTAGTGATATGTAAGGACTATAACTTGTCATAATGTTTAGAGTACTATTATTTTTGTTTATATAAATAGATATGAATTTTTCCAACCAGATATATCTACTAGTACTAAAAACATATAAATACTATCCACAGGTACTGTCAATCGTACAAAAGGAAATGGACCTGACTGTACCATTGCATTGATTGTCAAGCATGTAAAAAACTGGCTGCAACATGCAGGTGATAAAATGAGATATCGAAACAAAAAAGTGCAACAATAAATTACTCTGTAATTAGTATACAGAGTGCCCGATAATTCCGCTAAAAACCGCGATATAAAAATAGATTAAGTGAAACTGAAAAAACAATTCCTCTATGATTTTGCGAAGAACGACGTAAAATTGTGTTATTAATTAAAGAAATTAGCTAATGATCAATTAATTAATAATTCTATATTTTATGTGGTTCTTCGCAAAATGATATAGGAATTTTTTCTTCAGTTTCACCTAATCTACCTGTACATCGTGTTTCTAAAGCGAGTTACCGCACAGCCTGTATATTTAATAATAAGAAATTAATTAATTATATCTTGCATGGGCGTTGCCAGGAGGAGGCAGAGGAAGACGGTCCCCTAAACGTAGAAAAAAATTTATTTTTTTATACGAAGGCGCTGAAGTTTTTTTTTTATTTTTTACCGGCAATAAAGTGATAAAATTTATATAATTTTTTTGCATTGAATGCTTAAATTGAAAGAGGTGGCTTGTGTATGGTCTGCCTGAAAAAAAAATTCTGGCTACGCCCATATCTTAACAAGCAAGTAACGTTTTAACGCAAACAATGTTGTTACGTTATATAATTTATATGAAAACATATTTTATTATAAAACAGTCAAATATAAAGTGTAATAATTATAATATTTAATATATAATTAATAATTATATATTAATCATTAATATATAATTTAATATAATTTTTATATAATAATTATAAATATAATAACTATATATATTTATAAATAAAAAAATATATACACAATATATATATGTATGTGTGTGTGTGTGTTGTAATGTTAATATAATCGTCAATAAATATAATATTAACGCAATGCTATTATTTGTTATTCATTTCTCAATATTTATGTTTTTTAAAATATATTGAAGACTTCTAAAAGATATTTGTTAGACATCTTTGAGATATGTGTAAAAGAAATCTTTTAGATGTCTTTTACATTTCTGCAAGATGTTTTTTAAGACATCTTTTAGATATTTAGAAGATATATAAAAGAAATCTTATTAGAGATCTTTTAATACTCTATAAGATGTCTTTTTACATTTCTGCAAGATGTCTTTAAGACTTCTTCAGGATTACTTAAAGATATCTTCAAGACATCTTTAGATATCTAAAAGATATCTCAAAATGTTGCGTAAGACATCTTTTAGATCCCTAAAAGAAATCTTTTGGGGAAAAAAGTAAGATATCTCAAGACATGGCGAGATATCTTTTAGAAATCTAAAAGACATCTTTTTGGCTATTTGGGATATTTCATGATATTTATATCCCAGTTACATCTATGTATCATTTCCTTTTATATAATATAAATATGCAAATGTTACATATTATTTACGTAATATGAATGTATTATCTCAATATATAGGCGATATTGCAATATAATATTGTCGCTATATAAAATCAATATCATTCACTATTTACATGATAATACTCTTGTTATATAGCATCTAAATGTTGGAACTGCATTGACGTTACATTTTATTGCAATAGGTATGCGTACATATATAAATATATATATTCGTATATATAGCGTGAATTTATTTAGCATTGTGACAGTTAATTTAGAAACTTTAATAATATAAAAACTGAACATTGATTAAAGCCATCACATACAAAATTAAATAAGTATTCGGTTGTTGGAAAACTGACTATTCGGTTGTGATTGGTCAATTTCTTTACGCTTATGTTTTATATTTTTACTGAATTTTATGTATATTATGGCTTTCAACCAAATCAGTAAATTTACGTAATAAGTTTGCAATCTTTTGTTACGACTAGTTTCACAACCGAGATTACGAATATTGATTACGAATACAGCGTAATATTTTATGCAGACAGGATGCAGTAACATTTACCGCATGACGAAAGTTCGCGCGATAGCCAATCAATGTGCTACTTTTATGTAATAAGCTTCTAGCTCTTACGGAAATCACATTGATTGGCTACCGTATAAATTTCCGTCGCAAGCGTTAAGGTGCCAATACATGGGAGCGTCGAGCGTCAAAGCGTCCAACCAATCAAAGTTCCTTGTTTTTATACGTGAAATAAGAAATGAAAAACTGATTGGTTGGACACTTTGACGCTCGACGCTCCCATGTATTGACACCTTTACCGCGTCCTGTGTGCAGCCGGCATAATCTTTCTCTTGTCGCGCAAAAGCACACGTCTCATTACCTCGCCTCAAACTTTATAGAGAATAAACTTCGACACACACTTCTAAACAATCTCATAAAAAAAATATTATTCAAATCCAATTAAGGTAAATATACATTTGAGTTATATTATTACGTATAAAACTAACATAGGTCTTTTATGTCATATTTCATTTTACGTAGGGTTGAGGAAGTAACGCATAAGCGTTATTCGTTATTCGTTAACAAAATAACATTGTTACTGAGTCGCTATTGAAAAAAATAATAACTTAAAAAGTTACAAGTAAGCGTTACTTTCTAAACCTGATGTATGAAAACTTATATGTACATAACCCTATTACTTTTACTGATATATGCCAAACAAAAATCTAAAAATGTCTAAAGAATGACTAAGAGAAAATATAAAAATAACTTAAGATGTTTCAAACGTTTTTGTACAACGTCTTTTAGATTTTTGTGTTTTTTTATTTCACTCCATTTTATATATATATACAGGGTGCACGATTTATCTGAAAACATTGAAATATCTCGAGAACTATGCATTGGATAAAAAAAAGTGGTTAATGAAAGTTGTTAGTCTCAAAGGGGGACATCCAATGATACCAAACTCGACCTCCCACCCTACCCCCTGGGGGTGGGGGTTGAGGGCAACTTTGAAATCTTAAATGGAAACCCCCATTTTTTATTGCAGATGCGGATTCTATGCCATAAAATATGTAAATTTTGTCCGAAACTTTTTTTTTGATTCGTGATAGATGGCGCTGTAATCGCAAAAAATTATATTTTCCGCAATTCTCCAGAAATGATCATTGGATTGAAAAATAAAAAATACCTGTTCAATATTTTTAAATCAACAAGTGCCAACAACTCGTGAAAACATAGTAGAACGTATAAGAAACGGTTGCGCTGAAACTCCCGCAGATATGCTTCTATCCTGTGTACAGTCATTTGAAAAAAGGATCAATAAGTGTATTGAAGTTGAAGGTAAAAATTTCGAACACTTACTCTAATTAATTGAACAGTGAGAGGCAAGGGGACTCACATTAAAAAAGCACCCGAAGGGAACATAAAACTACTACGTCCTCGTCATTGTTTCTGTGTAACGCTAAAAGTAGTTTCTCGGAAAAATTCAACGCTATCTATCACGAATGAAAAAAATTGTTTCAATAAAAATTTCACGTACAATCTAATTCTGCAATGAAAAATGTGGGTCCCCATTTGAGATTTGAACGTTATCACCCACCCTACCCCGAGAGGATGAGGGGGGAATAACTTTTATTATGTTCTTTAAAAATATTGAACAGGTATTTTTTATTTCTCAATCCAATGATCATTTCTGGAGAATTGCGGAAAATATAATTTTTTGCGATTACAGCGCCATCTATCACGAATCAAAAAAAAGTTTCGGACAAAATTTACGTATTTTGTGGCATGGAATCCGTATCTGCAATAAAAATGAGGATTTCCAGTTAAGATTTCCAAGTTGCCCCCAACCCCCACCCCCAGGGGGTGGGGTGGGAGGTCGAGTTTGGTATCATTGGATGTCCCCCTTCGAGACTAACAACTTTCATTAACCACTTTTTTTATCCAATGCATAGTTCTCGAGATATTTCAATGTCTTCAGATAAATCGTGCACCCTGTATATATAATTTAGGTTATTCTATTTTATATATTTATTTCATTTTATATGTTATTTAAATATGTCGTTTGTCGTGTATTGTTTAACATACGTATATGTTTAATGTTTAATGTATTTATAAAGCTTTTTCTTATGCTATTTCTTTTATTATATATGACTTTTGTAACATATATTCTTATGTGTAATGAATAATACAGATGCGATAACATTAATTATTTATATAGGATTTGTTACAGGAATAATGCCTAAACCATTACATTTATTATAAAAAAGACGCAGACAACAATTAATTAATTGTGAAATTACACGCTATCAGCATTTTTCACCAGCATTACCTGAAAAAAAAATAGAAAACATTGATTCTAATATTGATTTGGCAACCAATGACTTAGATTTGAACTATTCTATTAATTCTGAGTATAACCATGAATATTATGACAAAATAGAGGATAAATTCAGAGACATACATAAAATTGATGATTATGCTAATTTATATACCAGTTGTAAAACGAAAGAAAGCTGCAGTATTTTTGAAGAATTTAACTTACATGATAATAGTTTATTTGAAGAATTAGATGCAGATAATACGATATCTCAAGTAACTAAAAATAAAGCAAAGGAGTTATTGCAAGATTTGCGCGAATGGATATTACAATTTAATATTAATAAGACTGCTGCAAATGCTAATTTAGCTATATGGCAAAAATATGATTTTAATATCCCTACTGATTATCGTACTATAATGAAGACACTCCGAATTACTAGCAAACTGATATCTACTGTAGGAAAAGGAAATTATAGTCATTTTGGAATTGCATTTGGAGTTAAGTGTAGAATAAAAGAAACTTTCTGTACTCCTGAGACAATAAAAATTAATATACATATCGATGGATTACCATTAACAAATAGTCTAAAAGTGATTTCTGGCCAATTTTAGGTTCAATCTGTGTTAATTCATTTGATTATACAGAACCTTTTGTTATTGGTATTCATCATGGTGAAAGCAAACCTGAAAACTCAAATGATTTTCTCAGATCATTTGTTGATGAAATGAAAACACTTGAACAAGATGGAATTAATATTAATGAACAAGTTACTTCTGTTTGTATTAATGTTATTCTTTGTGATACTCCTGCTCGGTCATATGTGTGTAAAATTAAAGGCCATAATGCATATAAAGGATGTTCAAAGTGTATTCAGGAATGAAATTATATTGAAAACAGAATGACATTTCCTGATATACAGTCACAATTAAGAACGGATGAATCATTTGGAAGTAAACAATATCCAGACCATCATATAGGAACTTCTTGTTTAGAAGAATTAAAAATTGACATGATCAAGCAATTTCCGCTTGACAGTTTGCATTTAGTATATTTAGGCAATATGAAACGTTTAATTCAATTTTGGTATAAAGGACCTAAAAATATTAGACTTCTAAATAATACTTTTACACTACTTAGTGAAAAATTAATTTCAATGTCTAAATTTATTAATAAAGAATTTATGAGAAAACCGCGACATATGACTGAAATTGATCGATGGAAAGGAACAGAACTGCGTCAATTTTTACTTTATACAGGACCAATTGTTTTACAAAATGTTCTACCTACACATATGTATATTCATTTTCTGAGTCTTAGTATAGCTATCAGAATATTGAGTGATGAGAAGCTGTGTCAAACATTAAATCAATACGCTAATGAACTTTTAGTATGGTTTATGACTCAATATAAAAATATATATGGAGGTCATAACGTAATATACAACGTTCATAATTTAATACATTTGGCTACCGATGTAAAAAATTTCGGTCCTCTAAAAAATTTCAGTTGCTTTAAATATGAAAGTTATTTAGGAAAGTTGAAGTCCAAAGTACGGGCAAGTGGTAAACCGTTACACCAAATAGTCAATCGACTTTACGAGGAAAATTTTATAAATGGCGTCATTTATAACAAAGATAATAAAAGTTACATTACAAAATCATATCCAATAATATTATATAAAAATGTAAACGATAAAATTATTATAAAATGTTTACAGTATCGTACTTTTATAATATCCAAACACAAACCTGATAATTATTGTCTTTTAAAAAATGGGTGTTATGTTATTGTATATAATATTTATACAACCAATATTATAATTGATGGAAACAATAGTACAATAGATTTAAAAGTGACAGAATTTCTTTCTCCAAAACCATTTTTCCATTTGCCATGTAATTCTAATATAGTACAGATATCAGTTGTAAATTCAAACAATGTTTCTGATTATTTTATTATTAAGCCAACAGATATTGTCACAAAATGTTTATTACTTCCAATAGAAACCGATATCGGAACACATGTTCTATTGCTTATGATACATACCTATCATAACTAAATAAGTAATATTAATAGATCGTATAAAAATCGAAGTAAAATTAATTTTTTATTTGCTTTTTAACTGCAGCTTTTGTGTATTACTCTAAATTATGATCAGTTACGAAAAGCCATACGCTGTCGTGCGTTTCTTAGAAACCGATACATTTTCTGAGGTTCCAAGTAATTGGTTATACGAGGAAAATAATAAAATTTTATGTTGGTGGCCAATAAAAGCAAAAAATATCACATCTCTCATATCAAATCGTATGTTACTTGATCAAACAACGTGGGAATTGTGAGAGGTTGAAATAGAAATGTATTGCGGTAAGAGAACAAATCTTTTACCAACATAATAAAACAGTAGAAAAAAGATACAATTATTACGAAACTAAAATTATTTTTCAGATACTTGGGAAAAAGGAAGAAAATTAGCGGAAGACCTTATATATAAAACCACGGATGACGAAGTTCTTGGTAAAGGCTATTGAGCAAAATTCGATAATACCAGATATAGTTCTTCTCCAGAACCATTCATAAAGCAAAAAGATAATATTAGTAAAAGTAAGAAAAGTAAGAAAAAGGATGAATGCTCAAAACGTATGTATTTCATACTTACATATTGGTATATTTTCATTATTTAAAATATTAATGGATTTATTATATACTTTTAGCAATTATTACAAGCTGCATTACTCTTCCATCTACGTTAACTTCTAATGATTTTACGAACGATAACATTATTTTTGATGCAAATTTAAGTGTTGTAGAAGCACCTGGATGTAAGTTAAATTGAATAATGTAACTTATAACTCAATAAACATCAATTTACATTAAATTAACATGCAAGTTACAATATCGTACTCAATAATGTAACAATGTTACAAACAATGTTGCTAATATTGTTTGTGACAGTTATATTGTTGGATAGGAAATTTTAACTTGTACATAAATATACTGTTACTTGGTATTTATTGAGAAGTATATTTTGTTGAAATTAATGTACTTTATTATTTTACTTCAGTTTTAATTTTTATTAAATCGTATTATTTACATAAAAGTATCATTAATATTTGTATTCCAGCATCGAATTCAATGCCTGTGACATTTGTTAATAAAACGGATTCTAATAAGGAAATAGACATAGTACAAGATATTGCTATCATTAAAGGTATCTCATTTTGATTTTAAATAATATTTAATTATAAATTTAGTATACTTTTAACTTGTAACGGTAATTTTTTTAAACGTTGTTATATTATTTACATATTTATTTGATAATATATTTACATATTATTTATGATCTTTTTTACATTTTTTAGAGCAATGTGCTTCAATATGTCGTATGCACGCATCGCTCCTTCTCACATTAAAAAATATTAACGAAATATTACATATAATGGAGCGCAAACCTGGAACCTCTGATGGAATACGATATCAATTCTTAGATCCGTTATTGCCATTAAAAAATCTTCAAAACATTGTTACTTTAGAAGAACTTATCACAAGTAATGATTCAGCTCTTTCTCAATATGTAGGTACATTTTTCATAATTGCATAATAAATAGTAACAAAAACTTCAAAAATAATATTATTTTCTTTTTTAGAAAAATTTTATTGCCAATATTGGAGGGCATACACCGAGAGATAATATTCAAAGGATTCTAAGAAAAGTTTTTTCTGATGAGTGTACTAAATTATGTTCATGGAAAGGAAAAAAAACAATTATGCTGTTCATGACTTACGAATAATTATAGAAATTCATCAAATTGTTGCTTCGTCTTATGAACAGTTTAAGGAAATTGAATTAGAAGATATTGCTGCAGAGTGGTTTCGCTTTGCAAAGCAGCGAGCTGCAAGAAAAAATAAGGACTAATATTAAAAAAATAATATTCTCCAATACGTTTCTTAATATAATAATGAATATTTGTCTTGTTTTGTGTGATAACAATTCTTGATATTTTTTTCATACATAATATATAAATTGACTTTACTACTATTTTTTAATTATATTGTACTGTGATACTTTAATGCCTTGGGAGAAATTTTCATAAAATTCTGATGTGATAATTTTATTTATTTGTCATAGTATATTATTATTATAATATTCTTCTGTTATGATTTCAACTGCGTATAAGGTTATTACAGTTACAGCAATGATATAGTTATTAAGTTTGCATTCCAAAGAAACATTGTTAATTTTTAATTTTATAATTAATTATTATTAATTTCTAATTTTATTATTAATTTCGTTTTAATATATTGTTCTAATACCATATTAAATCATTCTAATATAAATAATATTATTTTGTTCTAAGATTTTATGTCATATATCAATTATATGTTAATATATTAATTCCCATACTACGTATTTTAATATTAATATTAATTAATACTGTGATATTGTATATTATAATTTCACAAATATGTATTTCATGTTTAAGAAATAAAATATATCTATCGTATGTAAATGATTATTTTTCCTTTAAAATATAAATATAATATCGTTTTATTGCTGTTATAGACTGCTTTTATATACCGTAATTATATATGTTATATAACTGTTTTAGGAATGGTATGTTATTCCTACGTAACTGTACTGTACATGAAATATATAACATACATATAGCAACTATAACTTACATCAACCTATTTGTAACATAAACATACTATCATCGTTACTTTTGAAAACTGGTGAAATTATGATATAACTACAACATTACAGCTACTTTCACGTTATATAAAATGTGATATTGGAATGTATAGCTATTATATAGAAATATATAACTGTGTCGACTGGGTATATATTAAAAAATATTAAACAGTGCATATAAGCGGGGAAGGGCCCTTTCTTCTTCATTTCCTCCCCAAATCCTAACCTAGATTATTGCATCTTTATATATTGTTGGGCGTTGTTAAAAAGATCTTAAAATCCATAACACCTAATTATTAGGGGCTTGCATGTATTCTGATCATTTTTTCACTTTAAAAAGGCATTTATTGAAAAAAATCGGTACAATATATTTCAATCAAAATATTTTCCATCATTTTCTACAACTTTTTCCCATCTTTCTGGCAACATGGCGATACCGTGTTGAAAGAACGATGTTGGTTCGGAAGCGATCCAATCATCGATCCATTTTCGCACTTCTTCAGCATTTCGAAACCGTGTGCCAGCCAAGCCATGCTGCATCGATCTGAACAAGTGATAATCAGAAGGCGCTATGTCTGGTGAGTACGCTGGGTGCGGTAGAACTTTCCATTCGAGCTGCAACAGTGTATCCTTCACAACTGTTGTAACGTGAGGTCTAGCGTTGTCATGTAAAAGGATGACTTTGCGTCTGTTACTCGCTATTGCTGGTCTCTTTTGCAACAATACGTCGTTCAATTTGTTCAATTGACGTCGGTAGACATCTGCAGTAACAGTTTCATTCGGTTTTAGCAGCTCGTAATACACTACACCGTGCTGATCCCACCATACGCACAGCAAGACTTTATGGCCATGAATATTTCTCTTTCGTGTCGATGTGGATGGCTCTTCTGGACTAACCCATGACTTTTTGCGTTTGGGATTGTTGTAGTAGATCCACTTTTCATCGCCAGTAACAATACGCCACAGAAAACTCTTCTTTTTTTGCCTGGCAAGCAATGAAACTGCGATGTTGAAACGGTTCGAAATGGCATTTTCAGTCAATTCGTATGGTATCCATTTTCCCTCCTTTTGGATCTTTTCCATCGCATGTAAACGTCTGGAAACAGTTAATTCATTAATTGCTAAGCTGTCTGAAAGTTCTTTGAAAGTTTGAGCTGAGTTTTCGTCCAATAAGTCTTGCAATTCGTTGTCTTCGAACTTTTTTGGTCCTCCAGGCCGTTCTTTGTCATTGACATTAAAATCACCACTTTTAAACCGTTGAAACCAAAACCGACAATTGGGATATGACGGAGCAGCATCACCATAAATTCTAAAAAGTGTTTGATGGGCTTCGGCAGCAGATTTCTTCAAATCAAACAACAAAAGTAATGAATGTCGAAAATGCAATTTTGAGCGTTCCATGATTAGCGTCTGTATACACTGAATAACTCAATAATACTAAATGGTAAACTGTTATTTTATGTAGAGAAATGTGAAAACCATCGAATTTAACAGTTAGGTTAGGTTGTTTTACATTGATACTTCGCATTTTCACCAATATATGGCGCTGATCAAAATACATGCAAGCACCTAATATATGCAGATATAATAAGTCAAGTTAGGCTAGGTAATAAAGATCTTAAGAGGACTTTTTCAACAATGTCCAACAATATATAAAGATGCAATAAGTTAAGATTTGTTTGGAGAAGAGGCAAAGCCCTTCCTCCGCTTAGTACCGTTTAACATTTCATTCCTCACTTTATATGCGCACGCTATGCGCGCGCCATTTAACTTAATTACTATGGCTGTGTTCCAAAATTCACTGCCAGTACTGAAAATATATAGTTTGTGTCACGCAAATGACCTATGTCATACAACAAATATTTAAAGAATAAAGAAATAACAGTGATTTGAATAAATAGCATCATTGTTATTCCACTTTAGAAGTAGTCCTAAAATCGACACATATATGCATGCTAGCATATAAACTTTGAGACATTAATCAACATCGCGAAATAATAGCCTTTGCACATGAATTGCCATAATCATAAATTATACAAGGTAAATATGAGCTAATGTTATATCTTCTAACCCTACGATATGAGTTATCAACAATTGAAATTGATTGAGAAAGGTGATCTGAACACATTTCCATATCTTATTTTCAAGTGGTTTGTTACTTAATTTAAAATTAAAATCAAAATATGAATACTTCATATGATAATGAAATTAAAATAAAGATACAATTCATGTTTTAGTTCAGAAATGCCATCTGCTTGAAGATCAAAATCATTTCCATCTTTTTTCCTCACCCTGTATAGTATTCTAATATATATAAATATTATATATAAATTGTTAATATTTACCAGTTTTGATCATCATATGTACACTGGAAAATAAAACGGTTTCAACAGTGTTTCTTCTAATGACATGGATGATTCATATGGTTATGAATTTGAGAATCACTGCTTGATATACAGAGATTTCAAGATTATTGAGGTTAGAAGGATACGCACAGTAGAGATTAGAAAGATGCGATTAACATTACCTGACATTAGGTTCTAAAATATCCTTATTTTTTTATTAAAGGAAGTTGATAGTTTAGTTTTTTCATTAAAGGATTTTTATTAATCCTTATTTTTTTATTACAGTAAGATATATAAGAAAAAAGACATGTGGTTGTAAAAAATATATCATGCAATTTATTCTTTACAAATTTTATTTCAATATGAAAAATAAAAAATATTTTTAAATGTAATGTTAAATGATTCAGTTTGTGCATATATATATATATATATGTGTGTGTGTGTGTGTGTGTGTGTGTATTGTAATTTATTATATCTTTCCCAAATTTGACATTGCCTAGTTTTGATGATTTATCACAGGTTTTTATTGTATTGTACTATTTGATTTAATTCTACTATAATTATTAATTGTAAACATAAATAAAGTATAAAATTGTATGTTGATATGTGATGAAACTTATAAATTGTTTTTATTGATGCAATTTTATTAAAACCATATTGTCAAATGATGGCAATAACTGTATGAAAAATTCATGAAATATGAAAAGTCAAGCAAAGACAAAGGCAAATGCATCATAAATTATTGACAGGGAAGAGATGACAAGGAAAAGTTAAAATGTTAATCTTGTCGCAAACTTGACTAAACTTTCTTTTCTTCAACTCTTCAATTGTTACACACATACACACACATATATACACACATTTATATACACACACACATAAAACAAACACATTTTTATAAACTATAAGATATTGACAGAAATAGGTAGTCAGTAATGGGTAGAAATGTCATATTCCACAGAGTGTAAAGATGAAGTCAATTCAAAGTCTAATGACTCAGGAAATGGTGTTGTCAAATATATTCACATGTTACCCAAATTTATACTTGTTCAGATTTAATTCCAGTAAATAGCAAAGTTACTCGTATAACTGTGTTTATATTTGTAGTATGGAGCATATAGCATATATTCTTTTCATCACATAATTTCTATTACATAGCTAGAGAAATTATGATAAACTTCACTTAATGTTCAATGTTACATTTAAAAATATTCTTATTTTTCATATTGAAGTAAAATTTGAAAGGAATAAATTACTTATATTTTTTACAACCACAAGATTTTTTTCTTATATATCTTTCTTTTATTAAAAAAATAAGGATTAGTAAAAAATCCTTTAATAAAAAAATCAAATCATCACCTTTCTTTAATAAAAAAAATTAGGATATTTTAGAATTTAATGTCAGGTAATGTTAATTGCAAGTCTCTCTAACCTCATTTGTGTATATCTCTCTAACCCCAACGATCTTGAGACTGCTCTGGCTGTGTTCCAATCAGAGAGACCTGAGGGCGGCCATCGGGCCGATTACGCCGGGACGTTTTTTCCGACGCGCCCCCTGAGAAAATATGTGCATACTACGCCCATCCTGACAATAACGGCAAAGCATGCACGTTTCTTGTTCACTCCATTTTTTTAAGGAAGATAGTAAGTTAGAAAAGCACAGACGATCAATCGCTCTCCGTCTTTGTCTCACGCGCAGACTCTACGCGTAGTTTGGCAGCAGGACTTGCGCGGTTTCTGCCGACAATCTGCTCGCACGGCCTGTCACACAGGTCCTGTCGACAAAACACGAGCCTAATGAGGACACAGATGGCTATGGTTTTGATATGGAGATCTGATCGAAATTAGCGTCAA